TGCGGCCCTGCTTCCCCACCCCAGCCCACAGGGTGCATATAAAACACTTTCCTTTTATAAAATGAGGAAAACTGTCCGTGGGCCCAGCCCGGTCTGTAAAATTACACGAACCACCCCCAGCCTAGCCGCGCACATGGCCAGGGTGCCTGGTGACCCTTGGCCAATCACACCAGGCACAGCGGGTGGTGTGTACCCTGTGGTTGTACCTAACAGGGGCATCCACCCCATTGGGGAACGTTGTGGAATGCAGGAAGGGAGAGGGCTCCAGCTGTGTTTCTGGGGAACAGAGGTGCTCCTGGGCGTACACGTGCTGTGTGCCTCTGGGTCTCTCTCCCAGTACAGACAGGGTCCCACCAAGCAGCGGCTCTGTGCTGGGGCCTGTCACGGTGCCCCATGGCAGGTCCCGTGTTGCAGGCGACAGCCCTGTGCTGGAGCCCATCACAGTGGCCCACGGCGGGTCCCGTGTCATGGGCGGCGGCCCTGGGCTGGGGCCCGTCACAGTGCCCCACGGCGGGTCCTGTGTCATGGGCGGTGGCCCTGGGCTGGGGCCCGTCACAGTGCCCCATGGTAGGTCCTGTGTTGCAGGACAGTGGCCGTACATTTACATGTGAATTACAAGCATATGCCTGCAGGACGGGGCGGTGAGGTGCTGAGTGACCAGGCTTCCTGGGCCAGTGTGTGGTGCTGACGGCAGCACAGGCCTGAGGGCTCCTGGAAGTTCTGCCAGAACCAGCGACAGTCGTCCTCTGGTGCCACAGCTCTGCCTCCGGCCACAAACACTTCCTCCAGAGACAAACCCAGCCTCTGGGCAAGATGGTGCGGGCACCAGCAGGGGCCCTGGAAGGCCCCCACCTCAGCTAGACCCCTAGGCCCGTGGCATCCTGGTGGGCAGACAGTCCTGGTTGTGAACAAGAAGGAGTCCCAGAAGGCCGGCGGGACCCTAAGGCGGCACAGGAATTCCCCAGGCCTCCTGAATGTAGCACCAACGCCCCGAAGCACAGGTATCGCTGTCCGGCAACACAGGGGTTGGCAATGGGGTCCCGACTTAGCACGTGTCCTCCTCACATCCTCCCAAAGGTGACTGGCTTCTTAACACAGACATGAAGGTGGTGGACAGCAGGCCTGGAGCTCTGTCCCCAGGGAACGCAGAGTCAGCAGTTCAAGGTCAAAGAATGGTAAGGCGGCCCTGAGCACAGTGAGCATGGTCTGTGGGGGCATTCTTAGGTTGAGGGGTTCATTTTCCCACTCAGGCCCTTGGCCACCAGCACCCTGTCCTTCTGCCTGGGGACAAGGAGGAGGTCCAGGAGCGCCCTGACCACAGAGTGCCTTGCTGAGCTCAGACTGTGGCTTAGCAAGGAAGGGGAGGAGGCGGGGACCTCTCCCCGTCCACTGGTTTCTTGTGTGCTAATGGGGCTGGGGCACCCCAGCAGTGGTGGCTCAGTGCTAAAATCCTTGCCTTGTGTGTGGCAGACCTGGGTTCGATTCCCGGCCCGTGCGGCTCACGTGTAGCTCCGCCCTGCCTGTTGGAGGAGGCTTCAGTGTTGCTAGGTTTCGGTGCATCTTCCAGGCTAACACGGACAAGGAAGGGGTCCCAGTGCCCAACTTCCACAGTCAACCGTCTAATCCACAGCTGCTCTGGGCTGTCTCATGGTGACCCCATGCACAACAGCAAAAGGCCGCCAGGCCCCGTGCCGTCTTCCTGGCTGCTGGCACTCTGGGGTCCATGGCTGCACCACTGAGTACATACTGCTGTGTACTTCAAGTCCCTTCCAGCCCAGGGACCCGTCTCGTAGCAGCATGTCAGACCCTGCTCTGTGGGGCTCCATGAAGCTCCATGGTGGTCCATGGGGCTCTGTGGGGCTCCATGGTGGTCTGTGGGGCTCTGTGGTGCTCCATGGTGGTCTGTGGGGCTCCATGGTGGTCCATGGGGCTCTGTGGGGCTGCGTGGTGGTCTGTGGTGCTCCGTGGTGGTTCTTGGGGCTCTGTGGGGCTCCATGGTGGTCTGTGGGGCTCCCTGGGGCTCCCTGGGGCTCAGTGGGGCTCCGTGGTGGTCTGTGGGGCTCCATGGTGGTTCTTGGGGCTCCGTGGTGGTCCGTGATGCTCCGTGGTGGTCTGTGGGGCTCCATGGGGCTCCGTGGGACTCCATGGGGCTCTGTAGTGGTCCGTGGTGGTCCATGGAGCTCTCAATGCTGACTTTGGAAGGTGACCACCAGGCCTTTCTTCCTTGCCTGTTTCTGGAAGTGCTGCTGACACCTGCCCACCTTGGGTGACCCTACTGGCATGTGAAATGCTGGTGGCAGAGTGTCCAACAGCAGAGCCACCCACAGGTCCCCCAGCAGGGCACATGGAAGGGGATGTGATGAGAAGGGAACACCTTTTTCATCCAGATTTGCACGTGTGCCCGTAAAGGAAGCAAGAAGGTGACCCTGATGGGAGGGGACAGAGGGGAGGCAGAACTTCCGCTAGAAACGTTCATCTGCCCTCCCACTCCCATGACTTTCTGGTTCAGAACCAGGGCCAGGGCCGGGGCCCAGAGCTGCCGTTAGTGACCGGAAGGACACAGGGTGAACGCTGGGACACGTGTGCCTGTGGATGCGCCTGCGGGACATGGAGAGGGCAGAGCTGGGACTTGAGAGTGCACGGGGGTGACTCTCACAGGCTTTGCAGGCCCCATGCACGTTCAGGGCCGACGTCAGGGGCCCGGAGGCAGCGCTGTCTGAGGGGACTTGCGGAGCGGCTGTCTCGCCACCGGACTGAAGCTCTGAGTCAGAAACTCAATTACAGACACAAAGGCTCCCCTTGTGCGGGGCTCCCGGAGGGGGTGAGGGGGGAGTGATTTATGTCCGGGATTAAAGGTCAGCCTGGCACTGGGCTTGGGGCGCACAGCAGGCTGGCTGGAGTTAACCCATTCCTGCACGGGCCTGGGAGGGAGGAGAAAGGAGGAGAGCGGAGGGAGCTCCTGGGGCCGGGCTTCAAGCACAAACTGGGGACCCCTCCCCAGGAGATGAATCCGCTGCAGGGTGGCAGGGGCTCCCGTGGTGCTGGGGGCCGTGGATCTGACTCACGGTGACGCCAGGGGACGGAGCAGAAGGGCTGTCCTCCTTACGGGGGCACATTGCCAGGTCTTCCTCCCAAGAACCCGCTGGTTGGTTCAAACCTCTAACCTTCACAGCTGTGCCAGCAGGCTTGCTGGGGCTCTGATGAGGAGACAGAACATCCCTTGACAGCTTGTTGCTGCGAGGCGCCGTCGAGTCGGCTCCGACTCCTAGCGAGCCCGGGTACAACAGAACCAAACGCTGCGCGGTCCTGCGCCAGCCCCTCAGTGCATGCTATGTCTGAGCCCATCATTGCAGCCACTGTGTCAATCCATCTCACTGAGGGACTTCCCCTTTCTCGTTGACCCTCCATTTGGCAGCTCACTGACCTCAAATCCACAGTCCACATTATAACTTACAGCAACACTATGGCGGGGTTGTAGGGTGCAGGCCCACATGAAGGCGGGACAGTGGCCGTGAAACACGGCACCAGGTCACACTTCCACACTTTTTCATGGAGCCCAGTGCCCGGCAAGCATGGCAGGTTTGCACATTCCCCTGCTCCAAATGGAACGGAACGGACCCCACGGAAACCACCTGCAGGCAAAAGGTGCGTCTTTCCTGCTCTCTGAGGTCTCCCCGGTGCTGCTCTGGGCCCTCACACACGACCGTCGTTACAAACCTCGCTGGGCAGACGGAGGGCTCACTATGCAGCTCAGCGTGGGAGCCCAGGGGCCTTGGTGCTGGGGCGCTGGGGCCGGGGCCAGCTCACAGTGGTCATGCCCAGCAGGAGCGGTCAGCCGGTGTCCCCAGAAAGCGACGGTGATGGTCTGGGGCCCCCTGGCCTCACTGGCCAAGCCCTCACCCTGTAAGGCCCCAGGCCCCCGGGGGCACATCTCCTGAGCCAGCCACGCGCCGGGACCCCACATAACTGTAGGGATGAGGGGGCGGCCACGCAGCTTCAGGCAGGGCTCCCCCCACTCCCGTAGGTGTCTTCTTGGCGCTGCTGCCACCCTACCCACCCGGCCTCCACTAGACTGGGTCCCACATGCTGAGAACACAGGTCCAAAAACACATGGGGCTGCGGGGGGCTTCGGCCCAAACACAGAATCCCAGCTGCAAAGTGCAGCAACCCTGGGGGAGGGGCTTCCTCCCCAGAGGACCCGTCCCCACCCCCCGGGCTGCAGCCCCCATCCCCTAGCACAGGGTCTTCCTCCCAGGGGGCAGAGCCCCCCACTACAGGGTCCCTGGGCCCGGCCCCACCTCCTGACCTCCCCCCACTCAAGCCTAGTCCCAGGACAAGCACCTCTTTAACCCACCTGGGCCCAGCCGCCTCCCTCATCCCAAACAAGCGAGCTCTGAAGCTGTGTGGGCCGTGAGCTTACTGAACAGGGCTGTGGCCAGGACAGGAGCCTGAGGCATCCTTCGAGTTATGCCTGACTGTGTCTAAGGCCAGGCCTTCCTGGCACGTGCCCTGGGAAGATGGGCCCTGTGGGCTGCCCACAGCAGGAGGGAAGGCACTGTGCCAGGTGGTACCACCTGGGGAGGTCAGACAGGGACCAGGGCCTGTCACCTGGGGTTGAGGCCAACACAGCACGCCAGCGGGGGACACATGGGCAGCAGTGGCTCTGCTGACCACAGCACCTGGACACGGTGTCCCTGCACATTGGCTGCCCTAGTTCTGGAAGGCAGCCTTGCAGACTCCACGTCCCAGCTCAGCAGCCAGCAGCCCCCAGCTCCATGGGCAGATGGCCCGGCCTGCAGCCCAGCATGTGCAGGACACTCTGGGGATGGCTTGTGAACCCCCCAACCCCAACAAGGAGGGCTGGCATCCTGAGTGGACGGAGCTGCACCCTCAGGTGAAGGTGCCATGGACGCCTCGTCCCCTTGGCTGGTGGATGGGGCGGTGGGCAAGCCTGGGCACCATGACTCCCTACCATGTCCCGACTGGTGGCTGCCACTCACCTCATAGTGGTAGTCCATGCAGGTCAGGTCCAGCCAGCACCGGTCCCCCCGGATCTTGATCAGCCCCTGCCACGGAAGAACAGGCTTGGTCACCAGGGCGTGTCACAGGAGAGACAACTGCCTGCCCGGGAGAGGCCGTGTTGAGGGGCATTTGTCAGAAAAGGTTTTTTTGTTTTGCTATCAGTTAAGTTAAACAAGACTGTGGGTGAGTCCTCATCCTGTGTCTGGGGTCCTACAAAGGGGTCAGCCCCACACGGGGGCAGATGCTGTGATGCAGTGAATTTTGCTTAATCTGGTCCTTTTGCCCAGAGTCTCTGTGACTCCTATACAGTGGTGGGTGGGACTATGCAAATAAGGTGTCTGTGGCCCACCAAGGGGATTGGACAGCTTGCTACTCATGCAAATAAGGTTTACTGGACCTGGGCTGGTTAAGGCTGTGTGTCACCTTGGGGGACCATGATTTTCAGTGGTCTGGCAGTTATGAGGGATGTCACCCTGCAGGCTGGGTCTGGCGTAATTATCCTTTGTTTGCTGCTGTGTTTAACTCCTAGCCTGTGGGTCTGTGATTATGGTCCTGTTTGGGAGTGAGTCGTCTGTTGTGTTAATGAGGCAGGATTCGGATGGGATGCACCTTGAGTCGCTGTCTCACCCTTACCCCAGTCACTGTCATGACCACCCTTAGTCAAGCGACACCCCTGCCCCACCTTGATCAAGTCAGGGGCATCCTTGAGGTGTTCCCTGCATGCAACATGCACATGAACCCTCTGGCAAAGTCCCTGCTCCGCTGGATGCTGCATTAGCTCGTCCTCATTGGACCTCTGGTTCTGGAGCCAGCAGCCTGTCATCAGACCTGCGACGTGGGTCCATCAGCCCCTGCAACCATGTGAGTCAGAAGACGCCCCCAGCCTGACAGCTGACCCACGGATTTGGGACCTGTCAGCCTCCACAAGCATAGGAGCCATTCTCTCAACGGTTTGTGGGTTCTGTGAGATGGTGCAGAGAATGGTTACGGAACCCAAAGATAGGAGCAGGATATGGGGTGGGGGAAGAGTTGGTGTGAGAAAGGATGGAGTGGGACAGGAGTTTGGAGAAGCTGGGCATTTGGGACATCTTTGACCTCTGCCTCACGGGAACCAGCCTTGTGCTGATTCTCCTAAAAGAGATGAGTCACGCAGATGTCACAAGCAGCAGGGGTACGCTGAGGACTGCCAGCAGCCCCCAATGCCAGGAGGGAGGCAGACAGGAAGCCCACCTCGCAGCCTGAACAAGGCTGACGCCCTGGCTTGGACTTTCAACTTCTACTCTTTCTCGCTGCCCACCTTGTGGCCCCAGGACACTGACACCCTCCCTGGAGATGAGGTGCTGGGGACTGGTGGAGCCATGCCCCAAGCACTGAGAATCTTGCTACTTAAAGACTCGAAGAACAAATTCCTTTGAAAACTGAAGAGTCCTTTCCTTCTGGAACAGATCTGCTTAAATCTCAAAAGCACCAGATGGACCCGTGCAGCAGCACCCACCGTGGGGCTGTTCACAACACCCAGACAGAAACAACAGACATTTCCATCAGCAGATGAATGGACACACAGAGAGTGGTATGACCCCACACAGTGGAGTATTATGCAGCCATGAAGAGGAATGGGGTCCCGGGGCTCGAAGCCACCACACAGATGAACCTTGGAAACAACACACAGACTGCACTCAGTCAGCCGCCAAAGGACAGATGCCGTGTGACTGCCCTTGCGTGAAATATACAAATATCTAGAAACCAAAGGTGATTCATGGTGACCAGGGGTGGGAGGTGGGGGCAGAGGGGAGTGTTTGCTTGGGGGTGCTGGGTTGCTGGTCGGGGTGGGAGAATGACTGGCAGAGCTGGGTGAGGGTGGTGGGCCGACACAAAGTCTAGCATCAGCATCACTGAACTGACACGTGGACATTGCGGGTGCTCTGTGGTACGTTATTTTCCACACAGTTACAACAACAACAAACCACACCGTGCCAGATATGCAATTCCCAGTTGGAATTCCTGCTTCGGTGTCATGTTTTGTATTAAAATGATGCTCCACAACGTCAGAGGTTTCCTTGCTGATCAGGCCTGACCGATCCCACCTGAGGGCGCTGGCTGGTGTGGGCAGACTAGGCTGGTTTCTGATTGAAAGGCCGGCGGCCCTGCTCGGCAGGGGACACGGCCACACTTCCACGTGACACGTCCCCGTGAGTACCACTCTCCCGTCCCCTTTTGGAACTGGGAGTCATCATCTTTGGAGATTCAAACCAAGCGAAGAAGAAGGGGGAAAAAAAAAAAAACAAAATAATTAAAATGTCAGTCAAATCCTAAACTGATATGAGACACTTAAAAATCTGAAAAAATTCTTTCGGGAGCGCAGGGTAATTATATTCCTCCCATCCATTGATTCCCCCCGACAATGCAGATGTCAGATTTTCCACGGATTTTTTTCTCCAGAGCTAAGTGTCAAAGGAACAAAGCCTTCTTTGAGCCTTTTTCAGCCCAAAATGAATTCTGAAAAGATGGTGCAGACAGGCCCGAGGCCACCAGGCCTGCGCAGAGCCAAGTGACCCACAGATGTCTGGGCGGTTCTCCGCTTGTCGGCTGAAGGGGAAGTGCGCCAGCCCTGAGGCGTCAGAACAGCCCTGCTGGGGAAGCTTCCGGCCGTGGGCGGGAGGCGGGCGTGCAGGGCGGGCAGATGTGCCTGTGTCCCGCGCACGTGTCTGGGGACACGCTCTTTAAACTCCACTGGAGGGGTCCTCGGGTGGGGCAGGTGGTGGCAAGTGACTACTAACCAAAGCTTGGCAGCTGGACCTGATGCAGAGGCACCCGGAAGCAAGGCCTGGCAATCAGTTTCCACTGAGATTACAGCCGAGCGGACCTGTGCAGTGAGACTACAGCCGAGCGGACGCAGCAGCGAGATCACAGCCGAGCGGACGCAGCAGTGAGA